AAAAAAAAAAATGAGCTGGGCATGGTGGCACGTGATTGTAGTCCTAGCTGGTCTGGAGGCTGAGGTGGGAGAATAAGCAGCTGCTCAATATTTCCAGGGGAAATAAAATGTAGATTCATTTTGAATGGCTGCATAATTGTCCTCAGTACTGACTGACCTTAACTGATTTTTTGCTATATCTACAAGGTTGGACATGTTCCACTCTTTTTCTTTCTTCTTTTTCTCTTCTTTCTTTCTTCTTTTTTTTCTTTCTTTCTTTCTTCTCTCATTCCCTTCTTCCTTCTCTTCCCTCCTTCCTTCTTCCCTCTCAAATCCCTCATACGTGTTCAGTGCCGGCTGCTCTCCGAGGTCCCGCATTCCCCTTCTCCTCCTTTTAGGATTCTTTCCGCCGAGGATTCAGGTATAGAGATGGGGTTTCACTATGTTGCCCAGGTTGGTCTCAAACTCCTGGCCTCATGTGATCCTCCCACCTTGGCCTCCCAAAGTGCTGGGATTACAGGTGTGAGCCACCATACCCCACCCCAGAAGACATTTTTCTGACAGCTTTACCCATAACCTGGTAAAACCAAAACAGAACAGGCCACTTGTTCCCACACCTAATTCACACTAACTGCCTATATCCCTCCTTCCCACCTGAGCAGGCAGGACTAAGCATTGGGCTCTGACCTCTGTCCGGAGGGCTCTGTTTTGGGGATTTCAGACCTCTGCATTTAGGATAGTGTTTCCTTAGTCTGAACCACAATGTTTTTAAAAAAATACCAGGCATGTATTTCCATCTAGCTCTGTACAGTACAGACGCCTCAAATACTCTTTCATTCTGTGAACACGTACATTAAGTGCCTGTTCTGTGCCAGGCACACAGGAGACCTTGGGAAGACAAAGATGAATGAGACACAGCCTCTGCCTTCACTGGCAACACAACTTGAAGGATAGCTCTTGTGGAAGAGTTCCGGCAAACACAGAAAAATTATTTCATTTTACCCCTCTCTATAGAATCTCTTCTCATTTCCCTGAATCTGGGGTCCAACAGAGCAGAGGACCCGGGGTTGAGTCCCAGCCCTGCCACTTACTGGCTGTGGGACCTTGAGTTCCCACTTGAGTTTTTGGCGTTCTCATCTGTAAAATGGGGACCCAAGTTGCACTTACTTTATGAGACTGTTGGGAGAATTAGATGGGATGATACATGAAAATATTTTCTCAACATATGAAGCCCTTATTTCCTTAGTCATTCATTATCTGTCTGTTCACAGTTCTCTGGCTTAGCAAGTGTCATCAGGCAAATGACATGTCAAGCCATACTAGTGTTAGTTCGTTCGAGGTCCCCTCCCATAAAACATGGGCATTTTAAAAGACATGGGGGAAGGAGTCCCAGAGACAGGCATGTGAACCCCCTCATAGACTGGCAGTGGAGAAAAAGTTCTCTGGACAAGACAGACCTGTCTGTATTCTTTAAATCTCACTGTGCCAAGGGTCCCCTACCCCCCAAGAGGAGAGGGTGGCTTTGCTCTCTCAGTCCTAAGGTCACTAATATGCTAGACTGTGCTATCGTCCTCCCCACCCCACTCCTCACCTTGGGCAGGTCCGTGGCCCCACGGATCCGCTGCGCCACCTTATCGCCATCGGGGTGGATCTTGGCCACGTGTTTCCACATCCGCTCCCAGGTGGCCTCATCCACAGGCAGCCCACCCCGGTTGACAAAGAAGGGGACGCCTCCGTCGCGAAGGTCCTCTTCCCCTTCCTCCTCTGGATCCTCCTCTCTCTGGGCTGAGGCCCCTTCGCTGGTCTCTAAACGCCTGACCCCAGAGGGGGCAGCGGCGGCAGCGGGGGCAGCGCCACTGCCGCCACCTCCGATCACCTTCTTCCCCCCTGGCATCCCTAAAGTCTTGAGGCAGGTGGGAGGATGTCTCAGGAGGCGGAAAGAACAGGTGGCTCAGCGCAGGCCTCCCACACACCAGCTGCAGAGACAACACATGGCCAGAGTGCTAGGCGCCTTTAAGAAACCAGGGCGTGGCTCCTGTACAATAAAATACTACTCAATGAGAAAAAAAAATCAGTGCAACGACGTGAAGTAGGGGCCGAGAGGGTCGTCCGAGGTCAGCATTAGAGGCCTTGTTCTGTTTGAAAAACGGGGTAAAGAGAACACACCCCAACTTGGCAGCCTTCACAAAGCACTCCCATTTGACAACAAGAACAATGCCCGGCAGCAGCCTGGGCTGGCAAAGAGGAGAAAAATCGGAGGGAAACTGAGGCCAGAGAGCTCAGACCTGCGGCCACAGAAAGGAAGGCTCAAGGCACGGGTGCCCACTGGGCGCCCCGGGTCCCAGGTTTGGAGAGCACAAATTCCGCTACAAAACCCCTGAACGCTCACACCTGCGAGCGCCCCTGGGGGGACCAAGACGACTCCGGGCCGGGGAGCTCAGAACTCGCACCCCTGGGCGGGGGAGTGGCGCTGGGGGGCGACTTCTCCGACGCGACGAGACAAGTCCGGGAGCCAAGACTCGCAGCTGGCGGGGCGCGGGGAGGGGGCGCGCGCCGACGCGCACATTCCACGCCCCAGGCCAACTCCCTGCACAAAGTGGGCTTTGTCTGGGTCCCCTGTCCCCTCGCCCCTGGGAAGCGGCAGCGGCTCCCCCAGGAGGGGAGAGGGCGCGGCAGGAGGCGAAGGCTGGGAGCGCCCAGGCCCAGCCGGTCCCTAATCGGCGCGTCTCAGCGGGCAGACGGCGGGCACCTGGCGCCGCGCTGCGCCAGCCGAGCCATCGCGGGGCGCGGGTCCCGCGCCAGGGCCCAGGGCTCAGCGGGACCCGCTCCGGCGGCGCGCAGGGCCCAGGCTGAGGTCACCGAGCGGCGGGCTCCGGCCGCGGGGTCGCTGCCCCGGACTGGCTGCAGCATGGGCGGTGGCGCGGCCGGGGCGGGCGAAGGATGCTCGGTGGCTGTTCGCTCGGGCTCCCGCTGCCCCGGTTAAGGGGCGGAGGAAGGACCGCGGGGCGGGGACAGCAAGCTCCGAGGCTCCAGCAGCCACGGCCCGCGGATGCAGCTGGAGGCGAGTGACAAAGCCGGGGCGGCACCGGTGCGCTGGCCCCCTGCGAGCAGCCTGCGAACGCGGAGCCCACGACCAGATCGCGGATCCGCGGCTCGGCGGAGCTGATGCCGCCGCCGCTGCCCACGCCGCCCCAGGGTCCGGCTGTCGCCGACCGCGTCCCCTGCCCGCCCGCCGCCCACCCGGCTAGACTCCGGCCCGCGCCGCGCATGCGCTCCGTCCCCCCCTTAAAGGGCCAGTGCCTTCCCGCCCGGTCCTCCGCTTCCCGCGGCCATCCTCTGCCCCAAGTTATCTCAGGGATGCGGGGGGCGGGGGGCGGCATTCGCTCTCTTCTCACCTCGCTCTCCCGGCGCCGCGAAGCCGGTGCGGACCTGCGGAGGGACTTTGCAATGTGTCAAACAGAGCGCAGAGTCCGCGGGGATTCCGGGCGCGGAGGGAACTTCCGCGGCTGGGAATTTCCTAAAGCGGGGACCTCGCAGCGGCACTCAGCGTGTGGATGCGAGAGCACTGGCGGGGAAGACTGGGATTCAGTGACTTGTGCTGTGGAACGTTCGACAGACCGCTTCTCTCTGTAGGCCTCAGTTTCCCCACCTATCAGCCGAGGTGGTCGCTTTGGGTGAGCGCAGAGTCCCTCCCGGCGCGCACGTTCCGTTAAGGAAGGACATCTAGGGGTTGGAGGCCACTACCTCTGGAAACAAAAGAGTTAAAAGTCACTCAATGCTATCCCATCACCTGCACCGGTCGGAGTGGGGTGCGCAGAGTCCGCTCCTAATCCACCTCTCGGGACCCGGCTTTGGACACCGCGGTCCCCTAAGGCCGGGAGGGAGAGATGCAGCTCCCCAGCTCGTGGGACCGCGACATGGGAATGGGAAGCGGTGGGTGGGGAGATTTAGCCGGCCCAGAGGAAGGTGGAAGCACAGTAGATTGTCGTGTGCGTTCCCTGGACTTTGGGGACTCAACATCGCCTCCCCCTGCCCCGTTCCGCAGAGGTGTAACACTCGGGAAAAGGCACCAACGCCGCCCGCGCGCAGAAGCGAACTTTACTAAAAGTCGACAGCCAAGTGTGTCTTCAAGACTCTTCCCCTCTCCCCTACTGGTAGTTAACATGAACAACAGGCTCTCGCGCGAAAATGCAGATTCCTGGGCCCAAGACAGCAGATATTTTTAGGTCTGGGGTCGCTGTGTTTCTCGACAAGCTGAGGTTTCTAGCCCAGGGCTGGGCGGGAGAAGGCCTTAGAGAAACCCAGGCCCTCAGTGGTTCCCCATCTGTTCCTTAAAGTTGTCCCTGGTATCTGAAATTTCTGGGTCCCCTGGGCTCCAGCAGCGACCTCTTACTGCCTGCAGGTTCAGAAGCTGGGGTGGTCAGTGATGGGGGGATCACAGGGCTCCAGGAAAGTAGGTTGCTGGGATCCTCTTATGCTCACCGCTCACCGAGCATGTCAAGGTCACCAGGGACCAACAGCTGCCACCTTCTTATTGTATTAATAGGGAAACCAAGTCTCAGAGAGTAAGTAGCTTCCCCACGTTCACACAGCTGGTAAGTGGCACAGCTAGAATTTGAACTGAAGGCTTCCTTCTTGAGACGCTTAGTTTTCACCCTATACTTTGCTCCCCGTGTTAGCCAAGTGGTTGTGGTGGTTTTAAAATATGCTTGCAGGTTCTTTACCTGTCCTTCCAAAAGATGGACTCTTATGAGACTTAGTGACTCATTTCTAATGAATAGAATGTGGCAGAAGGGATGTTATGTGACTCTTAAGAGTAGGTCGTGCAAAGGAGACTGTTTCTCAGAAAAACCAGCCACCATATTGTGAGGGAGCCCAAGCCATAGGGTGAGGCCACATGCAGGTTCTGGCTGACATCTGCTGCTACGCTTTCAGCCAACAGCCAGAATGAAGCACCACGCGGGTGGCAAACTGAGACTTCACATCATTCCAGCCTCCAGCTTTTGAGTTGTACAGTTGGGGTTCCAGATATGGAGCAGAGAAAAACCAGCCTTGCTGTGGCCTGTCTGAATTCTTCTCCTACAGAGAAATAACAAATGATCATTGTTGTTTTAAGCTAGTAAGTTTTGGGGTGAGTTGTTAAGCAGCGTTAGATAACTAATACTGTGGATTTCCTGAAATGACAAATAACAAAGTAGATTTGGGGTATTCATTCAAACATTTAAACAGTAAGTACTTACTGAGCACCTTCTGTGTGTCTGGCTGTGTACCAGGCACTGGGGATGCAGCAGTGAGAGAAAGGGACGTGCCTTTGCCTCCTAGGGCCAATGGTCTGTTGGTGGAGCAGACGATTTAAACATGGTTCCCATGAAGTGCTCTGCCAGAGGGTTAGTTAACAGGAAGCTGTGGGAGTGCATACCCAGGGTAACTTCCCAGTCAGGAGGGGAGTTGGGGAAAGAGGAAGTGAGTTGGGTACAAGGCCAGCATGATCTAGGCTAGAGAATTTTCTGGCATCATTGCATAGAAGTTGAAAGGGACATGTGTCAGGCAAGGGGGCATGCAAGTAGATTATTGGAAAATGGTGTCTAACCTAAACTCCTTTTAGCCAAAAGCCCAGAGAGGACAAGGGTCTTGCCTCGCATGGCACAGCTTGTGAACCGGGCCTGGATCCTGGGTCCTTCATCAAACCCTCCCTTGACTCCTTGACACCCATGCCCTGGGGACAACTCCTCTACAGACACCTGGGGAACTCCTTATTTGGCTTAAAGCTTTTATGACCATTATCTCTTTTGCTATCTTCACAGAAACTCTGGAAGAAGTTAGGGAGCATGATTCCCATTGTACAGATGAAGAAATGATGCATGACAGAAGCTAGGCAAATTATGTACCTAGTACCAGAGCTGGCACAGCAAGAGTTGCTGGGTACAAGTGACTTTGATGATGACAGGGATGATGATAATGATGTGTAGCGCACATCATACATCACTGTTATTGTCGGCATACTCTGGACTAATGGTCTAGAAATGAATACACATTGTCTCAGGGCATCTACACGTTTATTAATCTGCTGTGACTCATTTTCTATTCTTGTGACACTGAAGCTGGAGTCAGATTCCCAGGAGAGTCTAGTTGAGTTAGCTTGGTCAGCTCCTGGGCCCACTCCTTGGCTGGCGGAGGGTGGGGCAACTTCACTAGCTGCCCCACCAAGATTACAAGTGGGGGTGCCCTAAAGATAAATGAGGTGCTATTAGTAAGAGAAGGGCACAAAGGCACACAGGTATAGATGTGTTTATAACAGGTAGACAGGCTATGCCTGTGCTGTCCGGTATGGCGGCCGGAAGTCATATGTGGCTATTTAAATTTGAACTTAATTAACATGAAATAGAATTATTTTTTTTTTTATTTTTTATTTTTTATCCAGTCCCCGTGGGGACCGTCAAAAATTGCCAATGCCGACTATATTGCAAGTCGTCATGGCGGGGTATTGGGAAAAGTTTTCAATTAGCAATAATCGCGCCTCGGATAAACCTCATTGGCTATGATACTGCCACTGCGCAAAGCTACATGAAATAGAATTAAAAGTTGAGTTTCTCAGTCACACTAGCCATTATTTCCAGTACTTAAGAGTCACATTTAGCCCACTGCTGCTGTAATGAACAGCACAGATGATAGAACATTTCCATCATTGCAGAAATCTCTTCAGGTCAACATTGCTTATGATGCTTACTTAGGATTCAACTCTTTTTCTTTTCTTCTTTTACCTCATAAATTATGAACATGGAAACAGAAAAAAAGGCAAGTCAGAATCTTCATTAATTTATTCAACAAACACATACTAAGTGTCTACTCTGAATTATCCATGGTCGTAGGCACCAGGGATACGGGTGAGGAACCTTGGAGAGTTTCCGGTCCAGTGGATCTCACATTAGGGTCACCCAGGAGCTCTTAAATGATTGGTACCTGCATCAACCTTTAGAGATGCTTATGAAATTGGTGTATGGGGCCTGGCACCCATAGTTTAGAAAGCTCCCCAGGTGATGCTAATATGTAGCTGGGCTTGAGAACCACTGAAATCTGGTCTGACCAGCGAAGTGAATTTCATCCGATAACCTGAAAACCTGAATCTGCAAGGGTCTGACTTCCACTCCTGGAGTTCTTACAAAATCAGAGTTCAGCATGGATTTGGCATCTGTCTGAATTGAATGCACCCTTCTTAGAGGAGAACAAGTCTGTTCTTCCTTAATCCAAACAGAGAATCCAATTCACTTCAAATAAAGTGTCAAAAGAACTTCTGGTTTGGGGTTTATTTCAAATCACTTCTTTCTCAAACCATTCTTGTGTTTCGTGCTGAAATCCCTATAGAAATAGCTACCCTTTACTGGGCACCTCGTGTAGCTCAGGTGCTTCCCATGCACAGTTTCATTTACTCCTCAGGACAAGCTGGCAATTTAGGTAATGCTGACAACAGTTTACAGATGAGCAAACTGAGATTCAAAGACGTTGAGGATTACAACTTGGCCTACTCAGCACAGCTGGGATCCCAACTCCAGTGCATGCTGTTTCCCTACGCCACCCTGCAGCTACCCCATCATGGAGAGCGCAGGGCGGCCGGCAGACAGCAGCTTTCTGCTCTGGCTCCACGTAGGAAGGAAAACTCTGTGCAGGTGAGTTGCAGCCCTTACTTTATGTGGCAGGGGAAGCTCCAGAACTGATATGATCTGGACAATTGTTACCTGTGCTCAATGAGAGTCCTGGGAGCCTGGAAGGAAGGGGGATTTGCGGATAAGGC